TCAAGAAATCTCTGCTTTAATAGCAAAGTAAAACAGAAAATGACCAAAGCAGGGCGGAGGCAAGTTCAGTCTGTCCCAAATGGATTGGTGGATTTGTGGAGCTCCAGCCTTCGAGTGAGAGAGAGTGAGTCAAGCTGCACTCAAGAGAGAGCCTCAGGAAACCTGCGCTGTACTCTCAGTAACGGGCATTTTTGTTGTTTTTCATTCTTTTTTTTCTTTAAGAAATTATTCGTTGACAGTTTCATCACAAATACGGTGAATTTTAGTCATTTTCACACCTATCATCCTCTCGTCCACCCTCCTCTTACTGTAACTATTCTTCCTGAGAAGTCACACTTACTTTCACGTCTCTTGGCGTATGTGATCAACTGAATTTAATTAAGGTTAACTGCGTGAACATTGGCGGGCAGTTATTAGAGCACCAGCTATTCGTCAGTGGTTATATTACTGAAGAAAATGATACTTCTTGCCCCAGCAACCATTAACCACCAATAGTCCCTTGGGGAAGGTGGGGCTCCATGAGCATCACCTCTGTTCACGATGAGATGTTGAAGGCCCAAGGTTGGCAGAGTAGCGAGTGCAAGGGCAGTGTTATGACCTGAAGATGTCGTTTCACAGCACACATCCTTGTCTTCCAGTGCTTATGTTCTTTCCACCCCTTCTTCCACATTTCCTGAGCCTGGGAGGGGTGATGGTGGTGGTATAGATGTCTTGTTTAAAGCTGAGCACTCCACCATCGTTTATCACCATTTATGAGTCTCTGCACTAACCACTGCCCACAGCTACAAGAAGTGTCTCTGACCAAGGCTGAAAGTAACACTAATCTGAAGGTATAAACTTGAATGTTTAGAAGATAGTTTAATGGTATGTCCATTTAGCGAATCAACAGTGATATTGATTACCACTTGAAGCTCCATAAACCAGCCCACAGGTTCTTGGACTAAATTTACAGTATCAAGCATGGGTTCCTTCCCGTGAAACAGGCCTCAGAAAGTTCATTTAAAATTCTGGCTATTCTCATCATAATCACGCCACTGTTGGACCAGTGGGTACATCGTGTCAGGTAGGTCAGTATTATAGTTTCCAAGTGTCAAAGGTAGGTAGGACTATCAGAGGCTTTTCTCCACTGGTAGCCTGCATAGCACCTTCTGGAACTGTGAATACTAGCTAGCAGAGAGGAGGCTTCCTGTTCAGTTCCAGCTTGGTTTCTCTGGGTTCTGTATCCAAAGTATGTGGTTAACATCTTTAGCAATAGGGTCTTATCATCACACTCTGTTGGGCAATCGACAGCAGTGGTGAAAGCCTGGACTGTTTTGAGAGCCTCTGGACTTCCCTGACTTCCCTAACCTCTCTGACCTCTCTGGCCTCCCTGACCAACAATTGGCAAGGAGATGTCTTACACCTGGCATTGGGATTTTCATTTAATAACCTATGGCTTCTGAGGGGAGTATTGTCCACCCACACAAGGTATCTCTGTTGAAACTGTAATTATTAAATTTTAAATGAACTTACGAAATGGTAAGTTTCCAATCTTTACTTTTGGTTTTCCCCATCTGCCATTCCCTTCCACCCAGCCCACCCACCTCCACTTAGACCATTCCAACCCCGGCTTCCCGGCGTCTACTTTCATTTCACATTTGCAATAGAGATATTAAAAAGAAAAACAGAAGGGAGAGAAAAGTTGTGCTCTATAGTGACATGGATGGGAGAGATGCCAGAAAACTCCTGACCAGAGCAACAGTGAGACACCATTTCCAAATGACCCTGAGTCAGCAGCTTAGGAGGCCCAGACTGGCCGTGAAGTTCATTTTCAACAGAAGCAAGCATTGCCTGACTGCATGCAGAAACCTAGTGGGTAGAACACTGTGGACGGGGCAGGCAGGGGGAGCCTTGAAACAGAGCCCTGTGCAGTATCAGTGAGCCAGAAATGGAGGACAAAGATCCAAGTGACCCAGTAAACTCTGGAAAGAACCATCCAGGGCACTTTCCACAGATGAGGCCAGCGTCTCACATCTGTGACCCAGCATCACAAGGAACCATTCAGGCATGTAACAGGCATTCAGGACCCCAGGAAGGAACACCAAGAGAGTTGAGCCTGGAAGGGCAGGACCTCATTCACACTCCCATATACCCAAGCCACGCTCCTCTTCATGTGAATGTCCCTTCACTGAATGCCTAGTATCAATGCTGGAGGCCAGATCTGCCCAGCTGTGTTTTCTCTCTCTTCCTCTCACCATCACGTCGTCTCCCCTGGCTCTTACTCTTCTCCTCTCCACCACTCCTTTCTCTATTCTTCAATTTTTCATTTTTCCTTTCCAAAGAACATAGGCTGACTTAGTTTGCCAGTCTGCGACTCAGACTAAGACCTGGAACTCGTGTTGGTTATCGGACTACATTTCTTTCTCTCCTTTTTCATTCTACCATTAGCCAAAACTGCCTCCTATCCCATCCCGACCCCTGTCCACATTGTTCCCCATTCTCTTTGGTTTTTCCCTCCTCTCCTTTTTTTCTCAACCCAATACGAATCACAAGTCACTCTGCTCTTTTCCCTTCTACTCATATCCATAGGACCTGATATCTTCGTGATTCTATTAATATTTGTTTACTTCTTACAATGCGCGGAGATTGATGGGTGATCACTTGTTACATGGCTATTGCTGGACGTTCTTGGTGGGCCTTCACTTTGACAGCAGTCATTTTTTTTTTCAGATAGTGTCTACTTCAGGGGAGTACAGGGGCCTTGCCTGATGCCCCAAACATCAACCAAGAAGAGAAAAAAAATACCACCCCAACCTTATTACAATCCAGTCATTCTTGAACATTTTGAACATTCCGGTTAAAAGAAAAGTCCTACTAAAAAACAATTCAGCCAGGAACCTAACTTGGATGATCCAACCCCATTACAAAAATGCAAAAGTGTGAAAAACAAAGACGGTATAACTCAGTGCTCTGAGGAAGGCAGAGGAGGCGGGCGGTTGTGGAGGTTGCTGAATGAATGAGGTTGTAGGATGTCCATGTCAGGAACCTCAGAAGCTGTGAGGCAAAGGCTGGACATGACCCGAGTTCCCATTCTAGGACACACCTGGATTTGGGCTTTAACATTCCACTTCAGGCCACCTTCCCCCTGCTCTTCCCTTCACAGCTCTACTCTCAGGGACTCTTTATTCATCCGGAATGACATCAAGCATCGCTCCCACCTACCGATCTTTTAAGGATGCTTACTGTGTGGTCTCCACCCATCCCTCCACCATGCCTGTCTTCCTGCTTTCCTGTCATCTCCCCATTTGTATCTTGAAGGTGTAGCTCTTGTAAACTAGAGACTTCAGTCTGTTTTAATAAACTTTCCTTTTAATTAAATGTTTTGTCTATTTACACTTAATATAAGTATTAGGGTAGTTGGATTTAGGTCTGTTGTTTACTGCTTGATTATTCTTTTTTTTTGCAAGTTTTTCCTTTTATTTAAAAAATATTAGATTTTTTTTATAATTTACTTTTAGTAATGCCACTGCTGAAATTTTAAGCACTCATATTTGCATTATTTCCTTGGTATTTTCTCTTCCTCAACCCTTTGGACACACTTTTAATGAAGTATTTGAATCTCTTGACTACTGAGTTATCTTTCTAAATTTTTTTTTTGAGATGGTCTCACTATGTAGCCCTGGTTGGCCTGGAACTCACTGTGTAGGTTAGGCTGACCTCAAACTCACAGAGACCCCCCTGCCTCTCTGCCTCTGCCTGCCAAGTACTGAGATTAATGTCATGAATCACCACTCCTGGCGTGTGTGTGTGTGTGTGTGTGTGTGTGTGTGTGTGTGTGTGTGTGTATCATGGAATATAAACATCACAGATGTCTTCTCCCACACTTATGACTTGTCTTTTTAATTCCCACAGTAGTTTCTTTTGGTTAAAACATTTCTTCAGATTTATTTTTATTGTTATTTATGCATGTGTGTATGTCTCCGTATGTGAGTGTGCCATGTGTGCAAGTGCTCTCTGAGGCCAGAGGAAGGCATCAGGTCCCCTTACTTCTCCTGTGTCAGTGCTGGGATCAGAACTCAGGTCCTCTGGAAGAGTAACAAGTGTGGTTAACTGCTAAGCCATTTCTCCAGTTGCAGGAAGTCTTTGATATTGTTGTCATAAGCCCTAAGCTATAATTTCTCAATTATAAGATAGGATGTATAGTAGAATTTCATTTGTAGGGTGTATGTGAAGAATACATAAAGCAACATGTGTACTCTTAGCACAGCGACTGGCATGTAGAAAAGCTTATTAAATACTATTCTCTTCCTGCCCCTGTCTAACCTATTTCCTGTTTCTGAGTCTCTTAGAAGTAACGGGTGACAAAGCGGCAGGATCTCCACAACACAGAGCAACAGCAGGACAACCAAGAGGAGTTCCAGTGACACCCAGCATCGATATCGTGGCAGAGACCAGAGGCATGGAGTCAGACCAGTGAACACTTGCAAGTGAAGCTGTATGGAAAAAGGGTTTACTGCGTGACTCACTGTGTCACACTGCAGCCTCCGTGACGTGATTGATTTTTTTCCTTCTCTTTCATTTTCTTTTTTCTCTCTTTTTAAAAATCTTTCTTTTTTCTCTTAAATTTTATCTTATTTTATTTTGTGGAGGGAGGTTGCAAGGGCAGAGGGTGGATATGAAGGGACAGGGGAATGAATGGGATGGAGATTCTTGATGTAATAGACACAAAGAATAAATAGAAAGAAAGAAAAAATCCAAAAAAAAGAACAGGTAAAATAAAAAGACATACCATTTCTATTTAAAAATTCCTACAAAGTGTTTGCTTCTTTACCTGTAATAGAAAATAAGAGTCTTATCAATTATTTTTCTTTCCATTTGGAACTATTACTGTGACATAAAACATAACTCTTTCTAACATGACTCCTCCTACCTAATTTATACTCAAGCAGAGGAGGGCCAGAAAAGTCTGATGCATTAGAGAGAGCTTTGTTCCTTTGACTGACTGGCAACCTGAAAACGATATGGCTGGTTTCTCAACATTCATCATCTTTACCTCTGTCTTCTGTCAGCTCACAGGTGAGTCTAACCATATCTTGTCCCATTTTCCTGACCTCCTCATCCTGAGGTATAATCCCAGGCTCTGAAGCCTCTGCCTCATTTAGTGTTGCTTTTAACTAACCACTGATATCTGGAAGGAGAAGAAAAGAAACAGATCTTGGAACTAAGCCCCTTCTGAATGGGAAGGAGAGGATGAAATAATTGGGGCTGGGTTCTAGAGACCTGTGTTCTGATCTAGATCTGTCGTGAGTTAAGTGGAGAATGTCAAAGCTACCCTGGGCTTTGGGGTCTCTCTTTCAGCTTTCCCTCCTTTTGAGAACAACTTTAGAAGTAAAGTTATACAGCTGTATAGTTATTCATAAATATATTTTAATTAGTATGTTTCTAAATAGATTTAATGATGGTGCATATGAATGAGATCAATGGAAGCAATCATTTTAATTTTTTTCTCTTAACCCAAGCAATCCAATCTGCCTCTATTTAGACAATTAATTAATTATAGGCACTTTGTGTAATTAATTATAGGTACTCAGTGTTCTCTCATGTGAAGGACTGAGGGCCTTTATGACTTGTCATAAGTGTATGATGGTAATAAAAGATTTTACTCTACTCAGTGTTCTCTGACACATGGGATACCACCATGTGAGTCATGAGCTCTCTCTCTCTCTCTCTCTCTCTCTCTCTCTCTCTCTCTCTCTCTCTCTCTCTCTCTGAGGGGCTTTCATAGTTCATATCTGTACACAATAAACCTACCAGAAATAACTTGCTCCAAAACCACATAGCATTTTCAATCCTGTCCTCCTCATACCAGACCATACTAAGTGACTCAAATCCACAGACTGTCACTCCTTCTTGAATTCACCAAAGCTTGCAATGCAAGGAAGCACCTGGCCCTAAGTAGGTTGCCCTAAAACAGTTTTGTTTCTAAAATTACTACCTGAACCGAAATGGGGATCAGAATTAGAATTTAAAGAGGAGATGGGGGAGGGCATGCCAGAGCTCTGAAAAGCCCAGGTGCTCACCTGAAGTGTATGTGGCTCCATGGGTATGTAACCTGAGTCCCCTGCTACTCTATTCCAGTAGCCTGTGGGCAGTCTGGTGTTACATTTCCCATGGCTGAAAAGAGTCTGAGATTGTCCTAGAACCTCCAAAGGGCAGAGCAGTGGAAGCAGAACAGACCCTGGATGTGAGATTCCTAGTTTAACTTGGTACTGGATTGCTGTGAGAGAGCATCATTGTACTTTGAAATTTGCTTTTCTGTGAATAACAGATAATTAAAACTAACTTGCAGAATTACTGTGTGATGCTTTAAATTAAGATATCAAAAGCAAATTAATTCAATAATAATTGCCATTTAAGTTCCTAATACTCTAAGGTACTTTTTGTACCATCTCCTTACAAATCTACATAAAGACAGGGATTTAAAGATAAGGAAATTTGGGCTGAGAGAGGTTGAGTTTCATAGGTAAGATCACACAGTAATTACAAGGAAAAGCAGAAACCGAGTTTCCATAGCTGGCACTGTCCCCAGCATACCAAATGCTAATCAACATGACACCTGACACTGGAAAGGTGTTCAGTAAAAATGCATTTGAACTCAGTCTCTCACAGCAAGAGCCAGATGGGATTTCTTTCTTCTCCAGGTACAGAAGGCCAAGGTAGGAACTGGAAAGACCCTCAAGGAACAGGTAGCACAATTCTGGGGACTTGGCTACACCAATGGGATCCCACTCTGGACAATTAGACAGGAGCCACGAGGCTAGCTCTCGCAGCCTTGATGTTCTCATCAGGATAAAAGGACCACAGTCAGTTCCTCTGGGTATCTTGTAATGATCAAGTAATACAACGGTTTTAAGGAAAACAAAGATTGGTGAGGGGTGTGGGGGACCACTGCAAAGAACCAGGAGAAACACAAAGGAGAAGCAGGAGACAAACCAGAGGCAGAGTGGTAATGGGCTTCGATGCAAACGAGACAGGCTGGGTGTGTCAGGCAAGTCTCCCCATCTGGGAAAGGGAATGGAATCAGATTAATGATTGCCCCCTGAAGATTCCTCCCAGTTCTGAGATGTTCTGTTCTTGATGTCCACGAAGAGGAAGGTCCAATGTGTGGTGCCTTTGGGGCATTCTCAAGGACTGGGCTGACAGGCTCTTGAGCTTTGCAGGCCCCGCCCCTGTGTTTTCCTCCTGGGTTGCCTGCTTGGGGTGGGGGTGGGGGGGGATTGTTGCTGCATCTCTTGTTTTTGCTCCTTCATCCCATTGAACTTTTGACCTTTTCCCGGGGAATGTAACAAGAAGGAGAAGCGAAAAGATGAGAGGAAACCTTACTCTTGCTCTGAAGTGTGTCTCAGAGATGACGATGCTTCTGACACCAAAGACAGAAAGGCAGATGGCAGTCCCTTGGTCCATTGCGTTCCCTGTCTCCAGGCAGGCTGCCTGGGAGATGTGCAGTGGTGCTCGAACCTTTGTCTTTCTACGAGGTCGTCCACTGCTGAGTTTTGTGAACTATTTTCACCCGTGTTTCAGAAATGAAACTTGAAAAATGGGAAGCCTTCTCAAAGCGCATTTCTGCTCTTGGTTCCTCCCACCATGCTGTCAGGCTGCTCTGTATTGGTCAAAATGCTTTCAGATCCACATTCACTTCAACTTCCCCAAATTCCAGGGACTTGAAGGTGTTTTTCCTCCTATAAGTATCAGGGAGAACTAAAACTCAAAATGGTAAATGTAAAAATAAAATAAAGTCAAAATCAAAACACAGGCCTCTGAGATGGAAGATCTCTGCCCCTCCCTCTCTCTCAAATTGGGGTTCAAACTTGGGCCTCAGGCACATCCACCAAGAACTCTACCAATGAGCTACACCCCTACCATTTTTTGTGGCCTTGGAAAAGTCACTCAGCCCTGGTAGCCTCATTTATAAAATGGCATGTGTTAACTCTTGTCTCCTGAGCTTGTTCTGAAGATCAACAAAGGTAAGCCCGTCAGATTCGCTTACAGATGCCAAGGGTTTGTCTCTGGAATTGTGACTGTGGAGGAGACAGAATGGATCCTGGGTCCCTTGATTCCCACTGAAGACAGAGAGCCCTTTTCTATCCTGCTGCATCCGGGTAGGAAGAGAGGCCAGCACATCTTTCTGTGGGCACAGTGATGCTGTCACAGGGCAATTTGGGACCTAATACTTGTAGACTGGCCATTGGCTAATTCACAAAAAAAGGGACATGCCCAGTCATCGCCCAGCAGGGACATTTCTTTTTTGGAAAGTTAAAGTGAAAACAGAGGAACTCGAATGCCAAGCCATTCCAGGGGTGTGGCTTTAAACAGGCTTCGGAGAAGATCAATTTCAGAGAGACAAGAAAAGCTGAAGCACAAAAATAGCATGAAATCAAAAGTAAACCAGGGGGCCAACAAGATGGCCTGGCGGGTAAAGACGCTTGCCATGCAAGTCTAGCCACCTGAGTTCAAGCCCCAGAATCCACATAAAGTTGAAAGGAGAGATGTGACTCCATAGTTGTCTTGTGGCACACCATGGCATGTTCTCCCACGCACACATACATGTACGATGCATGTGCGAGTGTGCACACACACACACACACACACACACACACACACACACACACCTGAGGTTCCGGAAAGAGAAGAGGTCTGGATACTTGTCCAGTGACAACAAGTAGGTTTTGTATCTTCCACAGCCTTACATCATTATCTTTGCCTTTGGGCTAAAGCCCCAAGCTTCTCTCAGGTCATGGGACCACTCTAAGGTAATCACTGTGCCAAGAGGAGAATATCACTCAGGCTGAGTGCTATCAGATTACTGAAACCTCTTGGCTGCTGTGAACTGAGAGGTGAAGTGGACACAGAGGAATGAAGCCACACCATTCCCAGCTACAGGTGGGAATGTGGCATCCGAGGAAGGGTCTTCAGGAAGGAATTGGTAGTAATACATTCTCTAGCAAACACATCCAACCTGTAACCTGTGGGCTACATATAGCCCAAGAAAGCTAGGAATGTGGCCCAGCTCAAAATTGGAAACATACTTAAAGCACTGTGTAATCTTTCTAGTAACTCTACAATGGTGCTCTCTAGGGCAAATTTTTCAGATGACTGTCATGATGCTGTGTTAAAAGGTTGAGCATGCTTGTGAGTCTAGACTCTAGAGTCTTCTGATTGACAGGTCAGGTTAAGCCCTGCCATGGAATTCCCACAGCACTTATTACTTCCCTTCTCATAGTACATGTAGTTGCTTAATTGTTGATCTCTCACAACTTTGTGAGTGCAAGAATCATGACCATCTTGCCCATGCCCTCAGTTCTATCTTTAGCTCCTAAAAGTTGCCCAACATAGCAAACATGATCTGCTTAAATATGAGCAAACTGTAGAGTCATAGCTGGAAGTGGTGAAGACAGAACAAAAGTTTCATTTCAGGTTTGAACATTTTTTTTAAACGTCTCTGGTCTCTAGATCCCATTTCCCAGTCACAGGGATAATATAACTCACCTGGTTAGAATTTACCGACCCTGCTCTTTGTTCATTAACCCATTATTTAGGAAATGGCAGGGAGCTGTTTTCTTCAGCTAACTTCTTTTTCCATCCTGAAGATACACTTAAGATAGAACAGTGATCTGGGTATGGTGGCACGTGGGAGGTGGAGGCAGGAAGATCAAGGCTGGAGAGATGCCTCAGGGGTTAAGAGCAATTTGTGGCTCTTGCAGAGAACTTGGGTTTGACTCCCAACACCCACAATGGTGGCTCACAACCATCTGTAACTCCAGTTCCAGGGGATCTAATGCCCTCTTCTGACTTTGGCAGCACCAGGCCAACACATGGTATACATACATATGTACATACACATAAACCCAAATTTAAAAATCTAAAATATATTTTTAATTAAAAAAAAAGAGTTCAAGGCCATTCTTGGTTGCTTAGTTACATAGCAAGTTTGAAGCCAGTTTCAAAAAAAGAAAAAGAAAAAGGAAAGGAAAAATAAGAGGAGGAGGAGGAGGAGGAGGAGGAGGGCAGGAGGGAGAGAACTGATGGTAGTTGTTACATGGAGTACTTTGCCCCATGTCATTGCCCACTTTTCATTCTAACAATGGATGGTGAATTTCCAATCTTCCCTCACACATCATCCACATTGCACACATCTGGCGGCATTTACCCTTGAGAAAACAGAAACCCTACTGCGACAGAGTGAAAAGACGGTTTCCTCCTGGCTTACACATGCACACCTGTAACACACTAAAGCCACAGTCTCAGTTTTCTCCCTTACACACTTTGCTATGGTTTAGATGTGGTCTGCCACGCCCATGAGTTTGATACCAAAAGCTTGGTCCCCACTGTGGTGAGGTTGAGGTGATAAAGCGTCTAATAGATGAGGCCTAGCAGAAGGTGTTAGGTGACGAGGGCACCATGCTGAGAAAGAATTACTTCTCCTTTGCTGGAGTAAGTTGAACGTCCTGAGAGCAGATTTGTTGTGGTGAAGCCAATCTGTTCTCGGTCTCTGCGGCACAGGACTGGTTTCCCTTCTCTTTCTCTGCCATCTTGTGACCCAACCAAGAGAACCTTCATCAAAGGCTTCACATATGGTATTTTAGCACACACTCTGATTTTCAACCTCCCAAACTGTAAATTAAGTAAACCTCTTTTCTTTTTAAAGCATCAAGCTTCAAGCATTATTATTACTTCAGAAAAGGACTGATACATGCCATAAAAAGGACATCTCCCCTCAAACTAATGTAAAAATGAAATTACTTGAAGGTCCAGGAATTGGACCCACTTGGGGGACAAGTGATACCCAATCTTTACCTGACTTCAAAATATTTACCCTTTCTGTCTCTGACATTGAAATGAAAGAATGAATGCATCAATTGGTCAAAAAAATCAGAATAAGTTTTATTTTTGTCTGTAACTTTTATTGGCACTATTTTTACATATTTTGAGATAATTAAAGTAAAGTCAGTCTAAAACCATTCTCGCCTTTGTAGTATGGAAGTAGGGGCTTTGTGAAAACTCAGATTATTTAACTAGATAATTTGACAAGATTGGAGGGATCCAAAGTATATATGCACTGACTGATAAATTATAGGGGAAAATGTTTAAAAATGGAAATTTTTTTCTAAAGAAGGGAAGCCAGTACTTTTGAAGGTCCCCCAGACCTGTACTTAAGGGAGTAGGTCCTGATCTGTATGATGAAAGTATAAAAATTCCTCTTCTAAGAACTTTAACAGCTAAAGAAAATTCAGAGTTCATGCTTTAAATTTTTTGTCCCACTCCAAAGTACCTCAGTGCCCTTTGCTAGCCCCAGACTTTGTCCCTTAGACCTTACAGGTAGTCACCCAGTTACGAGCACAGGAAATACTTAACTGGCCACTTCTGGAGACTCCACCAAGAGTCATACTTTCATGTGCAGTCACATGAACAGTGATGACTGCTTCAGAACCAGGCTCGACAGGGTCAGCTGAGACTGTGTCAAACGAGCAAACAAAATTCTGGTGGAATGAAAACGCTACTGCAGTTTCTAGCATGTGAGGTGAGCATCCCAAGCAGTGCTCCCCAACACTCAGACTCACCCATTTCCTTCTTCCACACAAACATGTTATGCAAGCAGATGAAAGCTTTTCATGGGGATGACCCTGAGTCTACTAACACATCATAAACTAGGAAGAGAAGTCATCCTTAGACGTGCCAGCTATTGCTGTCACTACAAACCTAGAGTTTTGCCCCCATTACCCCGATTTATGCTTGTGAACCATTCACCCTGGTTTGGGCAGCCTAGCTCATCAACTTCATGCTGAACTATCTCTGGAGTAATCTGGCTTTCCTAAGAGACCCAGATAGAAAGTTTCTTAGTTGTCTCCACACAGGAACCTGTCCAGTATGGAGCTGGGCTTTCAAGAGTACCATAGAGCTTGGTCTACTCAGCTGGGTGTCTCTTGCGAATGTGGTGTGGTGGCAGCAGGTGACTTCGCAGGCAGAAGGTTCTAATGTCGATGTTTTCGTGTGAGTGGGGTTCTGTTTGTATTGAACTTGGAGATATTTCTCAGGTTCTTCCAAGAACCCAAAGGACATAGTAATTTGTGGCAAGAGCTTACATTTTGGTTTTCTGTGTCTGCAGTAACAGCAACTTCTGGAACTCTGAAGGAGGTGGTTGGTGCCCTTGGTGGATCTGTGACCTTCCCTCTGAATTTCACAGGAAAACATGTTGAGACTATTATATGGAACTTCAGGTCAATATCTCTTGCCATCGTAGATAAGGGCAATGTCCTAGTGCTCCAAAATCATAACAAAAAACGGATAGTCTTTCCAGATGGAAGCTACTCCATGGAACTCAGCCAGTTGAAGAAGAATGACTCAGGTGTCTATCGTGTGGAGATTCACAGCCCATCACTTCAGTATCCCTTCATCCAGGAGTATGTGCTGTATGTCTACGGTAAGCAGGCTCAGTTTTAACAGTGGATGGTAGGCACATAGATGTAGTGAGCATCCTGATACAGGGGATATTCAAGTCAAGACTGGGTAATCACCCAGCAAGGATCAGGGAGCCGAGGATTCGGGCACTGATGATTCGTCTCTGATGACTTTGAGATTCTTTAAGTGCAATGTAGACCACGGGCAACCTAAGAAGTGGCTATCAGCTGGGCAGTGGTGGAGCACACCTTTAATACCAGGATTTGGGAGGCAGAGGCAGGCAGATCTCTGAGTTTCAGGACAACTGGTCTATGGAGTATGTTCCAGGACAGCCAGGGCTACACAGAGAAACCCTGTCTCAAAAACAAAACAACATTTTGTGGCTATCACACAGATAGAAATCAAAGATTGATTATTTGCTATGTGTCTGTCCTTAGCCAAGTTACTTTTTTAAAGTCTTAGTTTATATATATACGTATATATATACATATATATATACATATATATATGTATATATATATATATATATATATATGGAGGACAATGGTGTCTACCTTAAGAAGATTATTAGATACAAATTCATTACATTCCTTCCCCTACAGATTCTAAGCAACTGAGAAACAGACAGAAAAATCAGAACAAAGATAAGATCCAGCCATGTTCATGCCTGTAGTTGTAGCTATTCTGGAGGTTGAGACAGGAGAACTGCTTGGGCTCAGGGTTTAGAGGCTAGCCTGGGCAACAGAGAGAGAAAAGCAGAGGGAGGGAGAAAAGAGAGACCACTCAGGGGAGTTAAACTTACAAAACAGTCACTCAGATCTCTACCAGAAGAGTTAGTTGTCCTGTGCACTGAACCACATTATGGGAGAAACCAGGAGATGGGACCCAAGACTTGCTTACAGGAGTTAGGCAAAATACCTTGATCCAGGCTTAAGTTCTGAAGAGACACTGTAGAAGGGAGAAAAAGTTAGATAATGTGCAGACAATCTATGTGGAAGAAAGATGAAGAAGAAAAAGGTATTTGAACAGAAATAGTTAATGGACCAAGCTCTAGGCTAGATAATGAATGCTAGACTCTCCCCATCTCACCAATAAACCATTTGCTGATCCTCTAAACATAAAGGAGTGGGCACAAAGTAGTGAGAAGTGTTACATCAGTATTGTTTTCTCCTGGAGAGGCAAAAGGAAAGTGTGTTCATGGAAGTCTGAGGACAAGCAATGGGAAGCTTCTGTCTAAAGATTAGATGACATCTGAAATACAAGTAAACACACTGCTTGCCCCCCAACTGGGCTTAGTCAATGTCACAACATTGTTGTTGTGTGATTATTTCTGCTGTAATAGCTGCAATTGTTATTCTTGCTATATAGCTGGGCCAAGCAGACTTAAGAGGGCTCTGTCTCAGATAAGAATAAACATTCTGCTCTGATTTGTTGCTTCCTTACCCTTCTTGGACTTCCCAGGGAGATTCAGATTCAAGGTATGGAAGATACTTTAGAAAAGCTGAGCTCAGGATGAACTTCCATCTTCTATTGTACTATCTTTTTCACAGAGCTTCTGTCAAGGCCCAAAGTCACCATGGATGAGCAAGACAAGAACGGCACCTGCATAACCAACCTGACATGCTCCATGGAAGAAGGAGGAGACAATGTGACTTATAGCTGGAAAGCCCTAGGGCAGGAAGTCAGTGAGATTCATGACGGTGCCATTCTCCCTATCTCCTGGAGATTGGGAGAGAAAGACAAGACCTTAATTTGCATGGCCAGAAATCCCATCAGCCACAGTTCTTCGACTCCCATCTTTGTCCAGAACCTCTGTGAAGGTGACAGTCTTCTCTCTCCAGAGCCTCTGGTTGGAGAAATATATCTTCTTTAGCTCCCAGTCCCTATGGAAACAGGCTCTGTGTCAACTAGAGGCCTCTGGGAAAGCACCAGCTGGGAGGAAAGTCAGAGTTGGGTCCTTTTCCCTAGCTGACTCTACCATACACATCCACCCTCCTCATGCCTCTCATTTTCTCTTTAAAGATGCTGCCAAGGATCTAAATTCATCTAGGGTCATCATATACATCATACCATTGCTCATTGTGCTCAGTTTCTTGGTGTTTGTCATTCTTCCTACTATGCGGACAGAGAAAAGAAAAGGTAAAGCATGTATGGTTTTTTACTTCATATATTTTCTCCCTTTTGTTTCTCACGCAATACTTCAATCTGTGTGCAATATTTAGTGTTAAAGTTATAAAGATAAGAGGTCATGGTCTCTTCCCTTAAGAAGTGCCCAGTCAACGCCTGGAGAAAGAGCTCATTCAGTAAAGTGCTTGCCATACAAGTGTGAGGACCTGAGTTCCAACCCCAGAATTCACATTAACAACAACAACAACAAAATCCAGATGTAGTAGCACGCACTTGTAATCCCAGCACTGGGGAGGCAGAGATAGGTGGATCCCTGGGGCTTATACTGGCCAGTTATCTTAGCCTAACTGGTTATTGTCAAGCCATTGAGAGACTGTTTCATAAGACAAGGTAGATAACACCTGAGGAACAACACCCAAAGTTGACCTCTGCCCTTCCCACACATGCACATGTTCTCACGTACACACACACCTGCACCTATTCACACATGTATATGAACACACATGTATACGTATGCACACACAGAGAGAAGGGCACAGGTGGCTGTATGTCTTAGCTCCAAAGCAGAGAGCGTATTCCTTGACTCCTCTCCTGAGGACAGGGTCCCCCTCTAGTACCTACTCCTGTCCTTCCTTCAGAAGGATGTGGCCCTTCTGAAGACACAGGTCATACATTGCTGGTTCTGCTCCAGCAGACAGTGGTCTCCCTGCCCTTCCTAGCCTCATCCCTGTCAGAGCCCCCAACCAGCCTGTCTTCTTTACTCAATCAGCATCAAGATTCCTGTTTCCTCTTCACCTCAGGCTGGACACATTCCTCTTGGATAAGCCTTTCTCTGTTTCTCTATAGTGAACCCCACACTGTGTCCCCAAACCCTCATTTGTTTACCCCCTCCCTACCAGTTCTATCCATGGTGGGGCAAGAGTAGACTGTGGAGGAAAAATTGCAACAATAGTTGAGTATGAATGCAGACTTTGAGATAGTCTTTGAGAATGCCTTTGCCTGAGGCGTCCTGGGAACATCCCTGACCTCTTCTGCTTCCCACTTTGGCTGCCTTGATTTGGAGATTGAGAGGTGGAGTGACAGGGTGGCTAATTCATCCTGATTTGTCCAGGATTTTCTCCATTTTAACAATGAAAGTTCCCTGTCCTAGGAAGTGTCTCCATTTCAGAGTGACTAGGATGGTTGGTCACCCTGAGTAGATCAGGCAGGTTTAGTGGGCCAGGGTAGATGGTGAGTGGTAAGGAAGTCAGGCTTTGATTCTCTCTGGTTTCAGGCTCCAAGGATGACACTGAGAGAGTGGACAGCCACCAGGAAAAGCCCAACTTCTGTCCCCACTTGGAAGAGAATACAGAATATGACACAATCCCTTACGTTAATGTGAGTCTTTTTCTATTTTTTTTTTTCTGGGATCACATCTATCTCTCCAAGGTTTTTCTTACTTCACTTGAGACTACCCCCTACAAGATTGGGTAGCATGGAAAAAGGAAGGGGGATTAAGATGTAGAGTCTCTAACTTCAGTCAGTCTGCCTCCCCCACACCTTACTTCATGTCTATGCAGAAGTTGATGAATTTTAGAACAAATTATTCTGTCCCAAACCTGTGACACTCACGTGAGCAGTGACACGAATCACCTCTTCTTTTTTTATAGTTTACCACAGCGGGTCCTTACTTCCTCACAGGAGGTTGGAAGTTGGCCTGCTTTGCAGCCTGCTCAACTCACTGAGTCAAAATGTATCCGTTGTCTCCCTCTCTTTCTTCTCTTGCTCAGGTCACACCTAGAGAAACTGCAAGTCTGCCCTGCATGGTCAGGAAATACACTTAAACTAACCCAGGATGTTTTTCTCTAACCATGAGTCTTTTTTCTTGGCATTGCTTTATTTTGGTTCATTGGTGTTCCTTGCTGTTTCTCCAAGAGACCTTCAAATGCTGGATAAGTTAGTTTACAACATTGATCCTATAATTTCATGTTAGCCTTTAGCTACCTTAGGAAACTCATAGTTCATGAGATATCTCCACATATTTTGAAATTCATTGAAACATAATACAGAAAATAACGCAATAAAGAAAATGAATAAAAACACAATGACTTTCTTTAAAATTGATTAATATGCATTATTACAGCAGTTACTAACAATAGAACTTCTCTGCCTATCCCAGAACCTTCATTTTTTCATCTCTCTATGTTCTCTTACATATCCTTTGCTTTCTCTGGATTGTGTGCCTCCCTGGTCTTGTCTGTGTAATTTAGAAGTTAGGTGGTAACTGTGTTTGTTTGTTGCTTATTAATAGGGTACGAGGCTGGAAGAGGACGCAGCAAACACACTTTATTCCATTGTGCAGATCCCCAAATCGGTAAGAACCTTCACAGCTGAGCCTCATCTTAACTGTGGATCCCTTTTCCTGGTTCATGTTCAGATTCACATTTCTTAGACTGAGGGATTCTCAGTCCCTGGTATTAAGACAGACCCCTGATAGCTCCTCATGTCTGCCTACAGGTGGAGAGTCCTCACTCCCTGCCTGTGATCCTAGACATGTTGAGGCCATTTGGCTTTGAGCATGTAACTAGATAGGTTTTCCAGGGCTTTACTTGAGGTTACCAAAAATAAAGGAAATAGATGGAAACCGTGTTTTAGAAGCCCAAATTGGTGATCTGGAACAAACAGAGTAGGAAGGGGGTTCTAGGTTGGATTGATAAAGAAAAGCAGAAGGGTTCTGTCTAGAGCATGGATGAGGAGAAGGGCTACCTACAGCTTGTGCTATGCACAGGAGGAAAGGGGTCATGGGTAGAGACTCTTGCTGTTACTAAGCAGCAGGTAGGTGGAGGAAGGAGAGTTTCTTTCTCTGGCTGTATTACATCTGCTTTGCATCCTCCCTGTCAAACCCCAAAGATGTATGGCTTATCCCTTCACCACTTGTGCTTTGCAGAAACAGGGGTATTTTCTTGTCTGTTTTCCTTTCCTCTCCAAAATAATTGAAAAGATAAGGATGCTTGTTGGTGGACATTTCTTTCCCACCTACCAGTTCACAAATAACCAACACAGAGACTTAATATTAGTTACAAATGCTCAGGCTTGTTACTACCTAATCCTCACATTTTAAATTAACTCTTATTTCTTAGCTATGCTTTGTCACACAGCTTGGTACCTTTTTTAGTACAGCATGCCCATCTTGCTTCTCTCTGTGTCGGCTGGCGACTCCAGACTCTGCCTCCTTTTCCCTAGCATCCTCCTAGTCTGGCTCTCCCGCTCATTCTCTTCCTGCTCAGCTATAGGCCAGTCAGTTCTTTATTAACCAATGAGAGTAATTCATATGCACAGTGTACGAAAGGGTTATTCCACAGCAGATGCCGAAGTGATTTTCTTAGTGGCAGAAACACTTGTGTATTTATTATAAGACTATTCAGTTTATTAAGCATGGAGAATGATAAATATATTTCTCTCAAGAATAATCTAAGATAAAAGTAAACAGGAGGATTGTATATGAAGGAGCTATGGGCTGGGTACCTTTAGCTATGGGATGACGGATCTTCTATGAGAAATCTGCTCACGTCCAATGTTCTTTTTCCCCATGTCTGCCTGCAGGTGAAGAGTCCCAGCTCCCTGCCTGCAATGCCCCATATGCCAAAGCCATTAAGCTTTGACAATATTATCTAGACAGCAGCACTCTCTCTTCTCACTCAAGAAAACCCTCAAAGAATTCACCATTCTCAGCAGAAACGGAAACTTCTATCATAGATTGAATGTAAATGCCTTCCCACCCCCAAACCCATGTATTTGCATACAGATGGTGAAGGCCAGGCTCAAGGGGGTTCAGAGCACAATGACTCTTGGGGATGGGGATAGAGCCCATTCATATTCCATTTAATGAAGAAATTTTCAAGACAGCATACCATCTAGGCCATGACACAGCCATACTCCCTGTAAGAAATCAAAAACAAAGAAAAGGAACAGAAGATGTGGAAAACACGCAGTTTGATAAGCAGCTTGAATGCATTTACAGTTGTGGGGAAACTGGGTATGCACAATGCAGCCATAACAGTTAAAGAGATGAGCTCCATTAAAGAGTAACCCCAGACTTTGCACTAGGACAATAGAGAAGGATCACCGAGAGCGAGGCCCTCTCTATCAGGAACTCCAAGTTATAAACCGAAAAGCCCATTTGAAAAGCTTCCATTTAAAAGCAAGAATGACTGAACACAAAGTGTCCTACTTTGTCTCATCAGACTGGGAAAGCGTTTCTCCAGAGTCACCTGCACAGGTTCTCAGAGCCTGCTGAAACCCTGACTCAAGGGGGTATGGCTCTATCTTGGCCCAGCAGCAGAACTTGGCAGTGTCCATAAAGCTGGTGGCTTTGCAGACAGGCAGAATGTAAAGTCTAGGAGCCAGTGAGGCTTGTACCAAGGTTCTGGTGGGGGAAAGCCAAGTGATGTATATCAAGATTGGTCGGAGTGGAACTGCTGTGTAACAAAGCTCAGGTTGCAGTGTAGACTCCAGGATACTGGAGCTGCCAGGAACATGAAGCATCTGCTGAGAAAACTCCAGGCACTGAATGCAACCAAGAAAGAGGCCATATGTGCTTTAGGTAGCAAGGGCCATGGAAACAGCCTCCCCAAATCCACGGGAGCACACGTGATGTCACCATGTATCCAGGATGCCAGATATGGAGCTTCAGGGTTTACGTTTCCCTGGTGGATTTTGACCTAGCCTTGGTCTGCTCTTTCTTTGCTGTGCTCCATTCCTCCCTTTTCGAATGTGAATGTGTCCTCTACCTTTGTAAGTATGTAAGTTTTTAAATTTTGTTTTATAGGGACTCACAGCTAAGAGTTTGCCTTTCATCTCATAAAAGACACTGGACATTGGACTGGTATGGCCAGGGACTCTTCAAGTTTGATGGAATGCATTTTGCATTGTGTGATGACCATGAGTCCATGTGAGCCAAGGTGGAGATGTTATGGATTGAGTCTAAAATATGCTCCACAGCCTCATGTGTTTGAACACTTGGTGTTCAGTTTGGACAACTGATGGTATTTTTTAGGGATGCCATAGAATCTACAGAAGACAAGGCCTGCCTGGAGATGGTGGGTCTCCTAGTGGCAGGCCTTGAAGGTGAGATTCACTTCTGGCTCTGGGCTGAGCCTTCTGCTTCTACCTCAGGTGGAGTTCTGCCTACCACGATGCAAAGAAGCAGCCATTGCAAACTCCCTCCAACACAGACCAAGCCCTTGCAGCCACCATGCCTTCTGATGATGGATATCAACCTCTGGAACTCAAAATCAAAACAACCCTCTGCCCCTGTGAGTTGCTTCTGTCAGGATTCTGGCACAGAAGCAAGAAGAGCAATTAATACAACTTCTTTCCAGAATAAGCTATTCACATGCTACTTTGGACTCTGAGGTTCATTTTGTCCCACTGCTGAGAACTCTCCTCAAACCCAGAGTCTGTATTCCTTTCTGTAAATGTGACTGTGAATCTGTCAGTTAGGTCTAAGAAAAAAGCTTGGATATGCCTTGACATGTAAGTACAATATTAATTAAGGCCTTGGGACAGGATCTCAAGACCCATCTTATTTCAGAACTTGAGATCAGAGCTATAACAGGAGATTGCTTGCCAGAACAGACAGACATGTCCAGCACAAGCAGGTATAACTGCCCCAAATTATGTATTAATTTATTAATGGAACCATCAACTATGTGCCAGGTACTGTTTTAAGCTTGCATGGATTATTCCAATACACTCTGCTCTCACTTAACATTTCAGGAACTACTTTACATGGAGCCACAGAAACAATGACTATAGAGTGCCAGAAGGCCCCAAGTGGGTATGCAAGTGCCAGAGGTCAAAATGCACAAGGACAGAAAACCCAACTAAATACCTATGTTTGGCTGGTACCATCCCCATTGAGTGTCCATCACTCAAAGCATGTGGTGAAGGACAAGGACCCCTTACCTCTACTTCACTTATACTTGCATGCTCCAAGGGAAAAGCCTAAGCCCTGGGCCTATAGAGGAGTCCATCTTTCTCAACAGAGAAATAGCCTGAACACACATTTTGGATCTAATCCAAGACCTGGAGTCAAGGGATAGAGTCTGGGGTTTGATGGCTTGAAAAATCTTTACAGTTGTTAAATTTTTTTTCAACAAACATTTATTGAGAACTTATGCTAGGTTAGTATTCTAGGGAAAATAGACATATTCCCTGCCCCATAGAGCTCATTTTAATTTTTGGTGTTGTGAAAGAGACACGGGAAAACACAGAGCAGGTGTGTGTGTGTGTGTGTGTGTGTGTGTGTGTGTGTGTGTGTGTGTGTGTGTGTGTGTGTGTGTATACACATTTGATGCATTCCCATAACCAGAACTTACATATCTTGAATGAGAATGCCAAAAGGGAACCAGGATTCTAGGGTTGAAGGATATAAAATCAAGTAGGCAAATACATGTTTAAAAAAAGAAGAAGCATGTTTCTCAAAAGAAGAAGTATCTGGAATAAGGAAACATTCCCAAATATAAGATGGAAGCAAAAACAGAAACAAATCTGCAAGAAAAAAAACCAAAACCAGAAATTCAATAAAAGGGCTTGAGGCTGAAGACTTGAGGGAAACGAAAGTAGGATGCACTTCCCAGTACGTGACAACTCTGGCTGGCATGACCACAACGGGCTGAGCTAGCCTCTGCCCAGTTATGTAGGCATCTGCCCAAGGCACAGACGTAAATGCTATTAAATGCTGTAGATCACTGTGTTTATTACTCTAATTTAAAAAGTAAAATCTTCTTTAAATAAAATCAGTATGTTTTAAGGAAGGGGTCCTACATAACAGCACTTGGAGGAGGGAACTATTTACAGTGTAGGCAGAAGATGCCAGGGCTTCAAGTTCGTCCAGGTAATTATAATTCTGTAATTTGATCCTTTTAAAGACATTGAGGAACTCACATACAGAAATATGCATTATGTTGTAATTTGCAATAGATAAACTCTGGAAACTCCTTAAGAGTGAGCCCCTCGATAAGGTTAAATGAGCAAAGACTGCAGGAGTACAGGTTAGGGAGCTGGAGGGATGACTCCGCAGTTGAAAGCACTGGCTGATTTTCCAAAGGACTTGGGTTTAATTCTCAACACCGACCAGGTGCCTCGCATCCATCAGTAACTCCAGTTCCAGGGCATCTGATACCCTCTGCTGACTTCCATGGGCACCAGGCATGCACATGGTACACAGACATACATGCTAGCAAATGTCTATACACATAAAATAGTAAAATTAAGTTAAATCTTAAAAATACAGGCTATATACCCAAGTGTGGGGATATATGCCTATAATTCCAGCATTTGGAAGGCAGAGACAGGAGGCTAGCCACAAGTTTGAGGCCAGGCCACATAGTAAGTTTCAAGCCAGCAAAAGCTATATGGGAAGACTATGTCAATAATAATAATTATTATAATTTGCTATTGTTATAAATTTACATTTTTCTAATATTAAAAAACTATAGTTCATTGTGGGACATGCTTATAATCTTATCACCCAAGAGACTGAAACAGAAGGGCTCTACATTTGAGGCCTACCGGGGCTGTATAATGAGAGCTTGTCTCAAAAACAACAACAAAAACGACAGGCCACACAGTTTTTAATAAAGCTAGAAATTGTAACAGTATCACAAGTGGGAAGGGTAACATGTAGAATTGGATGTGCTCCCTAAGTACTGCTCTGTTGAAAGAAATGCTTTGCATGAAACCCTGGCTTCCAGCCTGCCTTAGTTACGGCTTCTACTGCTGCAACAAAACACCATGACCGAAAAGCAAGTTGGGGAGGACAGGGTTTATTATCAGGCTTACACTTCAACATTGCTGTTCATCACTGGAGGAAGTCAAGACAGGAACTCAAACAGGGCAGGATCCTGGAGGCAGAAACTGACGCAGGGGCCGTGGAGGGGTACTGCTTACTGGCTTGTTTCCCATAGCTTGCTCAGCCTGCTTTCTTATAGAACCCAGGACCACCAGCCCAGGGATGGCACCACCCACCATGGGCTGGGCCCTCCTCCGTTGATCACTAAATGAGGAAATGTCTTACAGCTGGATCTCAAGGAGGCATTTCCTCAACTGAGGCTCCTTCCTCTGATGACTCTAGCTTGTGTCAAGTTGACACACAGAAGGAGCCAGTACACAGCCCAAACAAGGACCACATAACTGGGTGTCACAGTGTGTGGCTATGGTAGCTGCCCTCCAGAGATGTTAGCAAGAGAATCAGAAATTCAGAATCCTCTGCTAACTAGTTCGAGGTCAGTCTGAGATAAATGAGATGTTGTTCAAAAAAAAAATTAAGAAGGAAGAAAGATGGGAGGGAAAGTGGAAGGAGCAAGGCCAATGCTTCTCTGCCCTTTAATTAATATAAAGTGTATATATATATATATATATATATATATATATATATATATATATATATATATATATTTAAATCTATGTGTGTAAAAAAATTAAAAGAAAATACATTAAACTATTTATACTGGTTGGTGGGGACAGTGAAAGCTTAAGTGTCTTGGTATTTGTTTATTTTTCCTGTGTGTGTTCATTTTCCAAATGCTTTTCAATTTTAGAGAACATGTATTGAATAGCAAGGTGGAGGAAGTTTTAAATAGATTTTCAGTGAGAACAAAAGAGTTGGTGTCTGCTAAGAAGAACTGAAGGGGAAATTTAAAACCCACCTGTTAAAAGTGTGGTGGAGGAAGATGGAAAATGCCCCCCTGAGAATGGAGGAAGACCCTCCCACAGTGATCACAGGAAAAGATTAATTTCTGTCAGAGAGTGTGACTTTTCTCTGTGGTGGGTTGTGGGCAGGCAAAGAGGGCTAGGCTGTAGACTCCATCACTCGCCCATCTCCTCTGTTCTGGGAACTAACTCATATGGTAAATAATTAGGATCATCATCCACCCCACCCCACCACCACCCTGTCTCTTTTTAATTAAATGGGGCCTGTAGTCTATGAACTCAGTATTTCACAATGGTGGCTGCAAAGGCAGGTCCCTTCCTCCTGAGCTCAAGCTGCAGGCAAAGGAAACTACCAGCTTGTCAATGTGAGATGTCACACTACCTCACCGGCCCACCACATACAGCCCTCCAAGCTATGTGGTGGGGAACTTGTGAAGTGTGAGCAATGAATTCTGAAACACAGAAACCTAATAAGAGGAAAAGGAGAAACAAGCAAAACTATATGTATAATTTCACCCATGCATGCATATTTTTACCTGTCCAACAGCACTACCAAGTGCATTATCAACAGCAGGTAATGCCAGGCACTGTCCAAAATTACAGAGCACACAATAGTGAACCAGAACAGGTCTGTGCCCTCTAGTGAGAGGCCAACATAAACACTATCCTTCAAATAAAATACAGTGGTCACAACTGGTCACCTACATTGGGGGCTTTCCTAGGGCAAAGGAATGGTCAGAGAATATCCAATTCAATAAGGATTGATAGGAAATCTAAAGATGAATCACAAGGAGAGAAGGGAGAGGGAGAAGAAGAGGGAGAGGAAGAGGGAGGGAGAGGGAGAGGGAGAGGGAGGGAGGGAGAGAGAGAGAGAGAGAGAGAGAGAGAGAGAGAGAGAGAGAGAGAGACTTCTTTAGTTCATAAATCTGTGGACAAATTTTATAGATACTTTGATTTCTACCTGGCTTAATTCTAAGTATTCTTTCTGTTTATTGCCATCTGTCAAGTTGACAAACAAAAGAAAAGAGCAGATAAACTGCAAAATTCTGTTACATAATATTTTAATAGAGTATTGACTATATACCAAACATTGCTCTAAATATTTTATATATGATTATATATGGATATGTATAATACGTATATTAATGCGTGACTACATTGAAACTCCTTTGCAAAGTTCATGTCGTTTGCAAAGTACCTGTATTTCTTCCACAAGCATGGGTTATATTGACTGAGAAACAGTTCTCAGGATAATGGTCTAGAGGGGAAAGGTTTGTAATAAGCACAATAGTAAACTCTTTTGCAAAGTATATAGGGCCTCTTTCATAAGAATGGTATCTATTGATTGAGAAACAATGCTGGGGGGTTTGGGTGAAGCCTGGCTCTACAGAATAGCAAAGATCACCAGGCTACAAATAACATCCATTCCAGCCTTCTGGGTAGAAAAACAGGTGCAAATCCCTTCTCTTAAAAAGCTTACCTGTGCTTATCTGTGAGCACTAGGACCTCATGTGTTTCTACAACTTATGTATACACATGGATTAAGACTGTACACATACACATGAGGCAGAGCTAGGGAGAAAACTAGAAGAATATGAGAAAACCAACCTGGTTTTCTAATAGCCCACTCTATTTTTTTATACTTCTCCCATACATTACACCCTGACCATAGTTTCCCCTCCCTCCATTCTTCTCAGTCCTTTCCTTGCCACCTCCTCTCCCTCAGATCCACTCCTCCTCCATTTTCCTTCAGAAAAGAGCAGGCTTCCCAGAGATGTAAACTGAATGCAGCATAGAAAATTGCAATAAGACTAGGCAAAATCCCTCATATCAAGGCTGGATAAGGTAACCCAGTAGGAAGAAAAGGATCCTAAGTTCAGGCAAAAGAGTCAGAGACACGCTCCCCACTCCATTATGAGCCCACAAGAGCATCAAGCTATACAACTATAATATACATGCAGAGGACCTAGCTCAGACCCATACAGGATCCATGATTGTTGATTCAGTCACTGCGATCCCCTATGAGCCCTGCTTAGCTGATTCTGTGGGCTATGTTCTCCTGGTGTCCTTGACCCCCTCATACAATCTCTAGCTCATACAATCCTTCCCCCTCTCCTGTGGGGTTCTCCAAGTTCTACCTAAGGTTTGTCTGTGGGTCTTTGCATCTGTTCTCATTAGTTGCTGGATGAAGCTTCTCTGGTGACAATTATGCTAAGCTCCAATCTTTGAGTATGGCAGAATACCATTAGGAAATTTTTTTAACCAGTTATATTTGGTTCTATCCTTAGTCTCTGGACTGTCCACCCTCTGGTTCCTTACCCTCCAGTCAGTGTCAGGCATGGACTCCCTCTCATGGTGTGTTCCTCAAGTTGGACCAGTCATTGCTTGGCCACTCCCACAAGTTTTGGGCCACCATTACCCTGGCATATCTTGAAGGCAGGACAAGCTGTAGGTGGACGGTTTTGTGGCTGGGTTGGTGTCCCAGTCCCAGCACTGGAAGCCTTGCCTGGTTAAGGAAGGTGGCTGGTTCAAGCCCCACATCCCCTTTCACTAGG